TTTCTTATTGCTTCTTACAGTGAATTTTTAGTAAAAAAATTAAAATTTTTTACTTTTAAGAATTCGTTGAAGAGCTTTCTTTACCGCGCTATAATTTTAATAAAAAGGAACATAAACTTTAATACGTATTGGCAATTAATTAATATCACACCACTTGTGCTTGTTCTAGAACAAATCTAGCCCTTGATCAAGGTCCTCTCCATAGAAACTCACCTTGTTTAGAGATGTGTTGCTTAGGATTTATTTAGGATAGCAATGGGTTTTGTAAAAAAATGATTATAAAATTATTATGAGAAAAATAATTTATTTATAATCTGCTATTAAAAAATTCTTGAAAATAACAAGAAAGTAATTGTTAAATAGAAATAATGATTATGATATGAGAAATAAAGTTGCAAGAAAGTTTTCTGTGGGGTGTAGCACTATGACGCTTATAACCAACATCAAGGCACAGTCTTTTTCGTTAGAAATTCTCAAAAAAGAGCGCCCCAAGGTCCCAAAGGATGGCACTTTGTCACCTTAACGGTGCAAGTCAAATCTTGGAGAAATTATTATGTGTGAAATTCAATTGCTTGTCTTTATGAGGATACATAAGAAATACATAATTTTTTATAAAACTATACATTTGATGTGTACCCTCATAAATTCAAAAGCATCTTCCATTTGAATTCCGCACGTAATTATCTTTCTTTTGAGTGTGCCTAAAATTTCCGCTCTTTAATCATTGTGTCCCCTTTTGCTTCTATTTGTTTCATAATTTTGGCACTTCCCATCCAATTTGTATCAAAATAAATATAAAACAACTTAAAATATTTTAAATGATCAAGATATTTTAATAGGTAAAACTCACCAATCAATTATCTCATTAAAGTTGAGATTCAAAAATAAAATAATAATTGGGCAATTTTTAACATACCCTTTTAATGCTTAAATTACATAATAATAATTATGTTTTTCATATGATTTAAAAATTTAAATTTTATATAAATAAATATAAAATTTTAGATATTAAATATAATTCCCTTAATATTTAATCTCAAATAAATACTTGAACTCAATTTCTAAAATAAACTTCAATAACTTGCCATCACTTTAGTAAAAATTAAATTCAAACTATACTAAAATTTAAATTTTAAAGAAAATATAATTATTATTTTCTCTGATTATTTTTAACTAAATTATTAATCTTCATATGAAAAATTACTGATTATTCACAGTGTAAGATATTTTTCTCCCCTTCAAAAATATCTGAAGAGCTTGTGTACTATGCAGGCCACTTGGCACAAACAAGAGAGTAGGAAAATGTCCAGATCCCTCTGTATGCTCCATTGATTAGATTTGATTAGTAGGCCCCATGGCCCACATTACAAACAAACAAAATTAAAAACACTTGGCTGTGATTATTCTCAAGCTTACACTCTTTAATTGAGTGCCACATTTTTAATCATTTTATTAATTACTATAATATTAAATTAAAGGTGTAAGCGAGTTAAGCCGGCTAGTAAGATCGCTTGAGCTCGGCTCATTATTAAATGGCTTGAGCTAACAACTCAGGTATGAGCCTGTTCTGACTCAACTAGTTAACTCATTACTCGGCTCGTTTAAAAAATTTGTAATATAAAATACATTAACGTTGAAGATTTTAAATATAAAATTGTTAAAAATATTTTAAATTTATATCTCTCACATTCTTATATTAAACAATTCTTTATTATTTTATCTTCTTATTTTTCATTCTTTTAATCATTTTATTATAATGATTACTTAAATATAATCATTTTCTCTCTTTCATAAAAAATGTGCTAGCTTAAACTCATATAACAGAGCTCGAGCTCAAGCTCAAACTCAATTAATTAATCAAGCTCAAGCTAAAACTAGAGATTGATAACTCGAGCTTAGCTTGACTCATTTATATGAAATTATTCTAAGCAGATACGGATAACGCCCGGAGGCGAATCAGAGCTCGCCACGTCACCCACTTGCTATATACTGCGGCTAGAAACCGCTCTGTACCCGATGACATGATGTGTTTTGATTCGCATCCTAACAGTCCGGTGTCCATACATTATAATTTCTCCTCGTTTACACCCCTACTTTCTATAATAAAGATTTCTAAAATATAAGATAAAAAAATAATAAGAAAGTAATAGCTAAAAAAAATATGATTATAAATGTGGAAAATAAATCTGCACTTGAAACTAAAATATTAATTTTCATATAAGACAAAAACTATTTATAATTGAGGATTTCCTCTTCAGTATGAATGTAAGATATTTTTCTCTCCCCTTCAAAATATCAAAGGATTTCTGTAGAATGAAAGCCACTTGGCACTAAGAAGAGCATAGGAAAATGACCTGATCCACGTCTAATTTCCATTAATTAGATTTGCGCATTTGGAGGCCCCATATGTTCACATAAAAAAAACAAAAGATCTCATTTTTATGGCCAATATATTACCAGCTGTGTTTATTTTATACAGTAAGTGTATGATTGAAGAACAAATAGGCCAATAATAGGGGCCAGATTTTTATGGGGCTGAGACACTTCATTTCATGTACCTGGGTTACATACGTTTCATTGATTGTGATATTTTTAATTTTACTATGAGATATTTTTATGCGCTAGTTTGATATTTTTAGGTTATGAGCAATATTTAAGTTAGAAAATATAAGATAAAATAGTTTTTATATATTTGTTATTTGATTTAGTGTGAGTAATGGAAAAGAAAACTTTTATTTATTTTGATGATAAAATAATAATAATAAATGAGAAAACTTGCTCTCTCTCTCGCTTGCTCTCTTGGTGGTGAATGAGTTTTCTAGTGGTTTGGTTTCTTCTGTTGAATCACCTATAGCTAGCTTATGTCGAGCTAGCGTTGTTGCCCTCTTTTGTGGTGCAGAATGTGAATGAGCCTCTTGTTGATGTTCTGATTGCTCTTATTTCTAATGCTTTAGAAGCTCAATTTGTTTCTAGATCGGGGGACACTTGTGTGGAGCAATCTGGCTGGCTCGATGGGTCTCGCTTTATTGTAATAAGTAGAATCATTAGCTCATAGGTTTTGCTTTAAAGATTATATTTTTGGAGAGTTTTTGGTTGCTTAAGGACCTATAATTTTATTGTTTATAGAACACGTAAGCCCCCTTATGAGTTATATCCAATAATAATAATAATAAAGGATTAGACTAATTACATATAATTAATTAGACATGAGACCAATCATTTATGAGAACATAAAATTAACTATATTCTAAATTCCAAGATAATAATAAATATTTAATTTTTAAAACACCATTAATTAAATTTAAGCTAAAAAACTCCATCCTTAGAAAAAAAAAAAGTAAATTTGTTGTTGATATTTTAATTCAGAGGTAAAAGCAAGGTAGGAAATAAGAAATAACATTGATATATCATCAAAAAATTATCTTGATCGAGCACAAATCTAGAAGCAAAATCAAGTTGAAAATTTCAAAAATTAAATCCGGAATCATATGAATTCCGATTTTAGCAAACTTATAGTCGAACTGAACATCTCAGAAATACAAATCCAACGACACCAAATTCGACCAAATCTGAGCTCAAATGGGGTCCAAATCGAAGACCTGAAGTGCATTAATTTGGAAGGTTCAAACCATAATTTGGATTACCAAACGATTTCCAAACATGACATGCTTATAACCGAAGCCAGCGGCTCGACGAGACAAATCCAACGAACCCAAGATCGCCAAACTTTAATATCATTAAGACATTCAAATGTCTAGTAAGTGGTCCATGATCAAGGGAATAACAAATGGTCGTCCATTCAAATCACTCCAAAATTACCCTTGATATTCCTCCTATTTACCGTACTTGCAACTCTCATAAAACTATAAATAAACCCCTCATTCCTTATAGATAAGAGGGAAAGAGGGGCCCAAGCAAGAAGAGAATGAAGAGTTCTATTGCCACCAAACTCCTCGACCACCGCCGTACTTCAGCCCGGCCATCGACTATCACTGGACTTCCGGTCAGCTATCGACGAATGCGAGATTTCTGCCCGACCACCATCTGATGCTGGATTTATGCCCGGACACCCTCTAACGGCGGATTTATGCCCAGCCACTAACTGATGCCAGACTTCTGCCTGACAAACGACTGACATTAAACTTACAGTCAGTCGCCGTCTAACGCCCGACTTTCACTTGGTTGCCGGCTTACATCGGACTTCCACCCGGCTTCCATTTATACTTGGACTTCCACATGACAACACTCTTTCTGACCACTCTCTCCTGCTTACTACAGTCGATTCGACTACTATCACCTGACTACGGTCCTTCCGACTTCCGTCGTCCACTGACTATGATCCTTCCGACCAAACAAACACGTCAATAGTGATTCTTCCTATTTCCACCATGTAATGCACTTCATTTGATGTATATTTGTTACATCAAGCCAAGGCCTTTCCCCCAAGGAAGTGCCTCATTTGTAATCAACTAGAAATACCAGTGGATTCATTCTAACTCCGTGGGTTTTCCCATATTCAGGGTTTTACAAGTAAAAATCTTGGTGTCTCTTATAAATGGTTTCTCTCTATTTTACATGATTATGTGTTGGATATTCGTACAAAACTAAGACATTAAACTTTATATTTCTCTACCGCCGCAAATATTCTATGACGCAACAAGCATAATATAAAGTTTTAGCTATTAATATTCATAATATTTTCATACATTTTAAGAATATAAATTATAAAAATTAATTTAAGAATAGTTTAATATAAATTTTAAGCAAATATAATTTATATCAAGAGATTATGATAACAAATTTTAATATAAAATATATCCAAACTTTAATATATGAATTAAAAAAAAAATTACCAGACCAAAAACCTAGAGCATAAACGGCAGTCACCATCAAAATTTAATTCTAATATTAATTTCGTATCATTAGGAAAAAATCCGCAGAGGCTGCGCTCAGCAGTCGAAGCCTTGGGGGCCGCTTGCCTATAAATAAGCAGACACCCCTCCGTTCATCCTCAACTACTCATCCATCTGATCACGTATAGCAATGACGATACTCTTCGCCAAGAGAGCTGAGGTTCCCCAGACATGGAAGGTGGCGACGGTGGCCGCAATCAAGGCCGCCGGGGACGGCGACCGCCACGGCGCCGACGCCTTTATACAGACCTCCACCGGCCTGCGAATTCCAGCTCATTCCAACATTCTGGTTAATAACTGATCAATCAACTCATCTGTTTTAATTTCTGAATACAAAATCTGTGCTTTTTATGATCGGTTAAATAAAAAATTAATTTTGTTTTTGATGGATTAAATAGGCTTCGATGTCACCAGTACTGGCAAGAGTATTGAATCTTCCGAATAAAAGGTGGAAGTCGGAGAAGGTGATTCGAATTCTCGGAGTTCCTAACGAAGCTGTTCTTGCCTTTGTGCGTCTGCTTCATGCGGGATGGTAAGAGTTCCTCTTCGCGTTTCTTTCTTTGATTCTCTGTTCCTCTTTTTATTTTGTTTTGGGAGAATTTTTCGGTGATAATATTCTGATTCAAATTTTATCTAAATGAGTTTTATGATCATTAAGTTGTTCTAAGGTTTGAAAACAAAAATAATAACTAGATGAATATAAATTTTATGGACTTTGCATTGCTTATTTGGATAGATACGTAGAGGTTTTATTTTTCTAATCTCAAATAGGATGCTATGAAATATTTTTTTTTTTTCTCCAAAAAGATTGGATCTGATAAGGATAAAGTTTTAAGAAACTTCATACATGTTAATTTTTTTATAATTTTTAAAAATTAGATATAAATATTTTAATTATTTCAAGTAGTTTTATTTCTATTAAATATAATTGAAATATTAGGTACTAATTTTTTAAGCTTATTCAGATTAAATTTGGATAAAGATGTCTGACCTAATTTTTTTTTCAATAATGTCATGTTGTGCTAATTTTAAATGAAATTTAATTAGTATAAATTTATTATGATCAATATTAAATGATCATATTCTTGTTTTTTTATCCAAAAATATGTATAAATTGTGATCATGATGGATTTTATATTTATTAAAATTTATTTTGAGATGAATTGATAAATATTTAATTTTTACATTTATTTTAAATATAGAATTATTTCATTAGCATATTTAATTAACTTAAATATTTTCTATTTCTAGTATAGTTTATTTGACAATTTTGGCTTTTTAAGAAAGAAGCTGATTATAAATAAAGGAAATTAACAATGTTTTTGTTTCTTGCTAAAATCCACCACTAAAACCTATACATTAAAAAATACTATATAATAATAATTATTTAATGTAATTAATTATAAGATTAATTGAGTAGTTAATTATGAATGAATTTAAATATCTTAATTAATGCCATATTTAATTTTAATTTTTTAATCAGATTTACTTAGATTGAGATTTGAATTCAAAGATTGCTAAAATATTGAGTGAGTTAAGCTAAGTTTTGAGTCATTTGGATCGATCGATAAGTGCTCGTGAGCTAAAAGAGCAACCTGAGCTTGGCTCATAAAAAAATATTAATATAAAATATACTTAAAATATATAAGCATTCAAGATTTTAAGTCCAAATTGTTAAACATATTTAAAAATTATGTCACTTATTATATTAATAAAAAAAAATTTTCTCATTTTTCTCTAAATTTTCATTCTTTACAAATATTATAATAAAAAATTATGCGGATCATGAGTTACTTCATACTCGTAAAGAAACTCGAGCTTAAGCTCAAAATTGATTAATTAATCAAGTTCAAGCTCAAGTCAAGGTGATTTGAGCTCGGCTCTAATGGATTTGACTCGTTTACACTCTTTAATATAAACAAATTTATATTTTGAAATTTAAAATAATATATTATATTGTTGGATGTAAAAAATTTATTTGTTAAATTGGCGCAGCGATGAAGAGGATGAAGAAATGATGAGGAGGAACGGGATGCACCTGCTGTACTATCGCAGTGTATCAAGTGAAGTGGCTGAAGCGCGCGTGCGAGAAGAGGCTAAGCGTTTGGCTTGACGCCGCGACGGTCGTGGATGTGCTTAAGCTTGCGAGGCCGTGTGCGACGCGGCTTGGCTGGCTTCGCTGCCTGAAGCTGGTGAAGAAGGACTTCGGCGCCGTACAGAAAAGCGACGCGTGGCAGTCTTAGAGGCAATGACACCCTGCTTGACTCTATATTCTCGAATTTCTTCATGAGTCTGATCTTGTAAGTTCAATTTCTTATTTTCTTTTAAACTATGAAAAAAATATTGTAATTAAATTTATTCAAAAATTTTAGCTTGAAAATGAACTAATTAATCAATCAACAAATATTCATATAGATAATTTTATTTAAAATAGATTATAAATGAATCATAATTTGCTTTAGATAAGTATAAATATATAAATTAATATGACAAATTTTTTTCCTTAAAGATTCATCCTCATGATTTTAAGTCAAGAATTTTTTTTAATTTAAAATATATTCAAAGATTTTAAATTTTATTATAATATAATATTATTTCTAGACAGAAGCTCAAAGAATTTTCTTATGAAATATTAAATGTATTTAATAATTCACCAAACAACTTTATGGTGATTGAATTTGATTGGCTTTTGATTTAATTTGTAACCTATTTGTCTTTCATTGATGATTCTATTAAAAAAAATATATAAAAAGACAAAATATGATATTTTTTCTCTCTCCTACAAAATCTCTTTAAGAATTATGACTCCACAAAAATATTTATATATAATATAATAAATCACTATATAATATATCTATTAATTTAAAGTAAATCTTATTATATAGTTTTTTTTCTTCATATTTAAAAACTGATATATATATATATATATATAATTTTGTGGTCATTAGAGTGCCAGCTGTGTTGATGATCTTGCGGCTAAGGACATCAGAAGCTGAGGTGTTATTTGTCTCCACTCGTTTAGTTATTAATTAAGAGTTTTTATTTAAATACATTTCGTGTGTTAAAATATTAAAATTTTAGTAATTTATATGAGATATGGGATATATTGTTTGAGAAGTAAAAAAAGGGGGTTCAGCTGAAAATATTTCATTAGAGTGAGTCATATTAAAAAAAAATGTTCGAGAATAGTTTGATGCAATGTGATAAATATGGATATAAAACTCATCTTGGTCTGTTGGTTGGGAGTTTAGGTTACCAGTTAAGAAGTCTTGGATTCGAGTCTTGTGTATGTGATGTGTGTGTGAGTCTGCCTTAATATGAATTGTGATAAATGATTTCGGCGATGAAAGTATGATGATCATTCAGGTGCCCGAAATGTCGTCAACGATCATGGTTGTCTAAGATCAACGATGCTCCTTACATGAGGGGAGGCTAATGTCGAAGTTGTTGATAGTGTATGTTTGGCTCTACGATGAGACACCAAATTGTTAGTAATGATTGGGGTCGGTGTTATTGACAATGACAAGTGTCAACTTTGATAGTAACATTCAGTCTATATTTTTGGCGACAGTGTATTGATATTGGTGATGATAGTAAGTGTTGATCTTATTAGCGACAATCGATAGGCACTTACCTTGTTTTTTTAGTGCCAACCTCGGCTTTGTTAGTGATAGCAAATATCAACGTTGATATCACTGATAGCCAATGTCGTCCGTCAAAGTTGGTGCCAACCGAAGATTATTTCCTTACACAAAATCCTCATTTTTAATAAATTTACAAGATTTTAATATTATTTAAATATATATTAATTTCTAACAACATCAAAAAAGAATATTAATTAAAAATATAATATTAGATCAATTACATAGACACAAGAGCTATTACAACTAAGGCATCAAAGCAATTATATTTCAAGTGAATATAATGGAATTTTATCAAGTAATTTATAGCGTTTAACACAATTTCTTTCTCATGATGAATAAAAAGGAGCGTGGAGCCGTAGACTAAATGTATAATTTATAATTGAATGCAGAGGGAAAAGCAAAGCAGAAGAAATATGGAAGAGCAGAAAACATACCAGCAGCTAAGCGAGGCAATGGAATGCCTTGAGCACATATTCAAAGAAGGTTGCACAGACATTAAGCCCGACCGCCGCCGGCGAAGCTCCTGCTCTTGCCCGCCCTTGGACGCCTGCCAACCCCTTCAGCTCCTCCTCCTACACTTCTCCAAATGCGACGGAAACCGAGCCACCTGCTCTCGCTGCCGGCGAATCTGGCAACTCCTTAAGCTTCATTCTTCAATCTGTATGGCTCAGGATTCATCCAGCTGCAAGGTTCCACTCTGCAGGTATTGCTCACTAGTCCATTGCCATAGAAGCTTCAATAGGAAAACCTTTATGTTTTTCTTTATAAAGAGACATTAATTTTGCCTATTTACAAACCAAATTTTGTATTGGAAATGACAGGCAATTCAAGTACAAAATGCAGAAGATGGAGGAGAAGTTAGAAGAGAGAAAGTGGATGGTATTGGGGAAGAAAGTAGCATCAGTAGTAGCCTTTTCGAGTTTTGCAAAGAGGAAGAGGTATGAATCTGGGCGGGATCTGGGCCCAGAATGAAGCTCATAAAGCATTTCTTCTCGAGCTTGTATGAGTTTTTGAAATGTGTTCAGAAAATCAGAATAGTTTATGTGATGTGAGGGTAGAATATGTGAGGAGAGACGAGGAGTCCAAAGGAAAGAGGAAGAAATATGTCTTCTTCTTCTTTCTTTCTTTCTGTAATAAATGTGATGTATTAATATATGTTTTAGAGCTTGTGTGATACTGGTTTGCATTCAGTACTGGCCGATTGAGAAAGCATCGATCCCAGAACAATCATTTAATATCTCACTTTCATTAAAACTTAGCTCTCTCTATATAACTTTCAAATATAAAACCGTCGATGACAGAACTAACTGAAACTTCTAGCTCACTCAGTATTCAGTAAGTATTGTACCTAACATTAACAGTCCAATATTAAAAAGAAAAGAATTCCAAATACATAAACAAAATGCATCTACTCAACATCATGAATTATTCTTTCAGTTTCAACGAGTAACATTCAGCATATGCCATCATGAATCATCATCATGAATTATTATTAAAAAAAAAACATGAATTATTCTTTCAGGAATATGTCATCTTAAAAAAAATTTGATTCTAGAGATGAAGATTGATTTTATTATCTATTACAGATTCAATTTAAAGAAGATCATACAAACAAGCTCCACAAACTGTCAAAAATGATAGTTTCTAATCTCAAGTAAACATGGTGCAGCCCATTTCTCATGTAAACATGGATCATATGAGATAGAAAAAATTAGTTTCTGATCATGGCCAATGTAACAGAAGTCAAGCAATGTTAGGATCTTCAAGATAGGAAGAAGCACTTTCTTCTTGAGCTTCTTAGGAGAGGAGGGAGAGAGGGAAGGGGAGATCGAGGGAGAGCAGCAAAACTCAAATCTTTATTTCTTAATAATTTTCCCTATTACAATCTATAGCCTCTATATATAGGCAACTAATAGCTACACCAATGACAATAAAAACCATTTAAGAAAACTAAAGAAAGTAAATGAGAAAACTATCTAAATCTTTGACCAATATCCAACAAGCTAGCAATTATAAGGATGGAATCACTTAAAGCATATAATAGTTTGGGTGACTTAGGTCATTTAACTTGGTTTTTCTTTATATAATCTTGAATATTTTCTGAGGGCCAGCGGATGTTGGATGTCAATCTTTAGTTGGTGTGGAAAAACAGGATCCGTCGTCGGAGAGAAGGAAGAAGAAGACACAGTGGAAAAGAAGATTTGTTTTATTATCTTCTCCTATCCTAAGTACATAGATGCATATATATAGTATATTTTGTTAGAGTTCTTTACACGTGGCTGTCGCTCATAGGTTAGTTTGTAATACAGGAGCTTTCTTGTGTTTTGAGCTCTGATAGCCCCCCGCAAACGAACGGATCTGGAGAGATCGTGAGTTTGCTTCGAAGGAGCTTATAGCGAACGGTGGAGAGTGGCTTGGTGAGAAGGTCAGCGAGTTGATCCACCGTTTTGATCGGAAGAAGCCTGATCTGATTGTTGACAATATTCTCGCGAAGGAACCGATGATCGATCTCGATATGCTTCGTTCTCGCGTGAAAGATGGGGTTGTTAGCGAGTGCAATGGCGGAAGTGTTGTCACAATAGAGATCAACCGGCTGGTCATGCGGAATCTGAAAGTCGGTGAGAAGTCGCTTGAGCCAAATGATGTCAGCCGTAGCAGCTGC